ACGGGACGGGGTGCGTGTGTGTGCGTGTCCCGTGGCCCTGCCCTTCACCGGCCTGCACGCTGCCTGCCCGCCTGCCGGGGCCTGCCCTGCCCTGGATGCAGGCAGTGGTGCTCTGGGCCTGTGCACGCTCCCTGCCACCAGGGTGTTGGCCCTAAGAAAAGGCAAGGTTCTCCCAGGTCCTGGTGCGCCAGCTCCCACCCCTCTTCTGGTTCACCTGCCTCGTGTCCCCTTCCGAGAAGCGTGCCTGTGGGCCTGGGAGCGTGGGGTTGACGCCAGGCCTCTCCTCGGAAGTCATGTCTGCTCTGCCTCAGGAATCGGGATCTATTGGGGCCAAGGCCCTAGGGCAGGGAAGAGCCCTGTGAGCTGGGGGGTGGGGGCTGGGTGGCAGGGACGCCCAGCAGCCAGAATTCTCCACGGTGGCCAGGCAGTCAGGGAGGCTGGACTGAGTGGCTGTGGGGGAATATCTCAGCATCTTGGGGCTACTGTTTCCTGGTGGGGAGAGTAGAGGTGCTGATTCCTGCGTCTCAGGGAGGTGGTCGTGCAAACCAGGAGGAATAGGTTTCAGCAGGGCCACACTGGGCCTGGCCTGAGGGCACCTGCCACCAGGGGCTGGGGGAGCACAGGGCCATGGGTTTGTGGGTGAAGGTGACCCACAAGCACAGGGAACAGAAGAGAGTCCCTCTTTATCTCTGGGAACACGAATAGACTTGGGGTCTGGAGTGAACTGTGCCACTGACTTCCTTACAACCAGCACCCGTGTGGCACGTTCTTGTCTATACTGTGGCTTCGACTGCATGTGTGTCTTTACGTTTGAGTTTCTTTTACTCCGTGTGGTGGGGTCTCCTCTCTTCTGACGGTTCCTTTTATTGGAATTTTGACTCTGCTTACACTTAATTGTTGATGTCGTTTGGTTGAAGTCTAGCATTTTGTTATTTTCTACTTCATTTATTTTGTCCCTTTCCTAACGATTAGTTGTTAGTATTCCGTGTTATCTACTTACCAGGCTTTTGAGCTATACCTCTTTGTGTTACTTTTAGTCGTCGTGAGGGACCCCAGTAGTCCTCCCTTATCCGTCCATGGTTTCAGTTACCTGTAATCAACTATGATCCAAAAATAACAAATGAAAGATTCCAGAAACAAACAGTTCATCCATTTTAAATTGGCTTCCTGTTAGCCACCTGGGTTGTCAGCTTGACTCACAGTATTGCAGTGCTCGGTTGAAAGTCACCCTTGTTTTACTAAATAACAGCCCGAACCCATTCACATAACTTACTACAACGTGTAAGTCAACTTTATTACTATTGCTGATAATCTCTTAGGATGCCTAATTTATACGTTAAAGTTTATCGCAGGTATGAATGTATAGGAGAAACCATAGTGTAGATGGTAGGTTGGTACTGTTCACGGTTTCAGACATCCGTGGGGGTCTTGGCACGTGTCCCTGCGGATAAGGGGCTGACGGAACAGTCTTGTCTTGAATTCTCTGTGCCACCTGAGACACGGACCCAGTCAGCACCCTCCTCATCACCCCTGTCTGTCCATCACGTCGTCCTGCAGTTTACTTTCACCTGTGTTACACATACACAGGAGCGATGGTGGTTACACAGTCAACTTGGTTTTAAAGAGATGAGGAAATGAAAAAGCCCCTGTAATTGCCGTTTTCAGTATTCTTTCTCTTTTAGTGTAGATCTGGTCTAGTATTAGTTCCCATTGGCCTAAAGGACATGTACTGTTTCTTGTGGTGCAGGCCTCCTCAGCTTCTGTTTACCTGAAAGTGTCTGTATTGTGCCTGTATTTATTAAAGGGTGTTTTCGTTGTGTATAGAATTCTAGATTAACAGCTTTTTATACTCAGTCGTTTAAAAATAAGATTCCAGATATTTTCTGGCTTGTAGTGTTTCTTTTTTTTTATTTTATTTTAATTTAAATCTTTATTGTTCAGATTATTACATTTGTTCCTCTTTTTCCCCCCCATAACTCCCCTCCTCCCAGTTCCCACCCCACCCTCCGTCCTCACTCCCCACCCACTGTCCTCATCCATAGGTGCACGAGTTTTTTCCAGTG